TATCAGCATATTTAAGTTTGATAAAAATATATTGAATGGTTTATTTAAAACTGAGCTAAACACTAATTTTAAATAAATGAAGTTAAGGTCAAAGGAAAGGTCAAGGTCAAAAAATGTTGATGCAGTTGAAAAGGTTACATCAGCATGTATTAGCATATGAAGTTTGATAAAAATATTATGAATGTTTTCTTTAAAACTGAGTTAAACACAAATTGAGAAAAGTGAGGTCAAGGTCAAAGAAAAGGTCAAGGTCAAAAAATGTTGATGCAGTTGTATAGCTCTCATCAATATCTATCAGCATATGAAGTTTGAAAAAAATTTCTTGGATAGTTTCTTTCAAACTGAGCTTTGAACAGAGCTAAACACAAAGCGTGATGGAAAGACAGATGGAAGGACGGAAGACGGACATGACAAACACTATATTCATGGCGAGGCATAAAAAATGTCATCTTTGAATAAGTAAGGCAAAGTCTTGATACTCTTGCAGGGGCATTCAACAATAAAAATGACAGAAATGTATGTTTCATAAAGTTGAATACTGTAAACCAATTATTATATACATTTTCCATTTGTAAATTGCCAGTTGAAAATTGGTCCATGACAAATAACAGTCATGATCAAGATTTCATGTTTCACAAAACTTTTAAAGTCTTGTTTTGTGATCATTAATCAGTTGTTTGCAAATTTTTTAGGTTATTCCAGGAATCTTGAAAATGGGGGCCTGACCAGTTTGGAGTTGGGGCCCATGGCCACACCCAAAAAAAATGATTTATTAAATCTTATGTATATTTTGGACACAAAAGGGGGGCCCTCTAAATCCGCCAGTGTTATTTCTTGCATGCATATAAAAATTGGTTTAAAGTATACACATGCCTAAAAATAGACAATATTTTACATCAAGTAATTAGTGCCTGTAGGATAACCAATATGCCAAATGTCACTAAGTGACACTGGCACATTGGTAGATGGGGGAGGGGACAAGATGATGTATCTCCCCCAAATAAATAAATACTCTTGCGTCCCTTATATCAGATTTATAAAGTACAGTACTCAATTTTGTGGTCCGACCTACATGCCTCAATTACATCAGTTTCACAATGAGGGAAGTTTGTGAAAATCAAATCAAGTTGTAAACCAGAGTCATGAGTTACTTTTTGTACAATTTGTGTGCATTTTAAATTCAAATGCAGATAGTCACTGAAAAAGTATATACACGACGGTCGTGTGAATAGCCAATGAAAAAGTAAGTACACGAGGGTCGTGCATAAAGACACTGCCGATTATCATCGATTATCATTTTCCCGTTTGCTAAAATGGGTAGTAAACCCGTTTTACATAAAAAATTTTTTATTACTCAACATCGATAACATATTGCAATTTTGCGTGTTGTATCGATGAAAATTAACTTAAAATACCAACAAAATTTTGACCATTGAATAAATATTTATCAATTGTAGAAAACCCGGGACTGACCAAAACCGGAAACGTTTACCCAGGACGAACCTCAAATTCCTGAGATAATGATAAGTGAATGTTAATTTAAAAATATAATCTCAGTTAATACCCGTGAATTAGGCCAGCTGTGCAGATTTTATCAAATTAACTGGTACAGTGCCCACTGTCCAATCAGTTCCGGCACACTGGACCTTCCGACCTCATATTTTATTCCCAAAAATTTCTTTATTTTTTATATAGAACAAAACACTGTATATTCCGACCACTGTACATTCCGAATTCCGGCGCTTTTTTGTCAACAAAACTAGATAATTACATTATGATTTCACCTGGGTAATCCGACATAATCACACAGGTGTTCCGTAATTAGCCGCTGGCCAGGTAACATGAATACCCCGTTCGGCCACAAGATTGGTCTACTTAGAGAGTAGTTAATTACATGTACTTTGAAAGTGTTTATGTAAGTTTAAATGATCAGTTTTTGAATTCAAAAATTAGGCAATCAATTCTCTTTGTTGTTATCAATTTTATTCTCACATTTAAGAAATAGTTTATCCACGCGACAGAAAATAAAAAGAGATATTTTGATTGCATTTACCGTACAGAATAAATAAGATTTTTAGCTTGAAATTAAAATCAAACATGCAGTCAGTCCTTCATAAAGCCATGTCGAGAAAAAAAAGACCATGGCGAACATAACATGTAGACAATACACAAGTTGAATGCAACATCTTGCCTAATAGAAAAAGTTTCATTTCCTGGTTAATATACACTGAATTAAGCAAGGCTGTGCACATAAAAGATTTGCGGGAAGCAAAATACCGCTTTAAGCTGCCCATTAAATGTTAAAATATTACGACTGTTTGATAAAAATTCAATCGCAATCACAATGTTTTAGAGATACGTCCCGTTTGTATGAAACGTCGCGTGACAGTATTAATAGCACAGTCTATGTTGAGAAGTAAACAGTGGAGAAAAATCGGAGAGAAATGTAGTGTAGAAAAAAATAATACCACTGTGTAAAGAAGGTACATGTAAACGAAATATTTACTTTAATATCTACTGCTTTAGTAAAATACTACAAATTAAATTGCAACATCTCAAAGCGATCGACAGTTCCATCTCTTTTGTCCATTTAAAAAAACATTGTATATTACTACAGAGGTAGAAATGCTAATTAACGAAGGTATATTTTATACAACAAAGAAACACACAATAATTATTATACCAATATTTTGACAATTAAATATACATGTACTCTAAACCTAATGAAAAATTTGTTTTTGAAGTCATCTGACACCAATCATAATGTTAAGAAATATTCAACACTGGGTAATCCGACACACTGTCTAATCCGACATTGATTTTATTTCCCGCAGCATGTCGGATAAGACAGGTTTCACTGTAATATCTTTATGAATCTTAATCAATACCCATGTTCCAAGCTAGCTCTACAGATATAATTCCTAACTAATACTTAATTACCAAGCTGGCTGTACAGTCTTTATCTTGTTAATTCGTTAAGGTACAAATTATCAATAATAACACCATATTAAGTATTAGAATTTAAAAAACAGAATTGTCAATTTTTTTTTACGTATTTGGCATTTATTTTTTCCTTTTGTTTGTTTAATAATTTGTTTGTGTGTAAAGTAGGTAAAATTAAATAATAATACTGATTAAAGCTATATATGGCATATCTAAGCTAAAAAATAAAAATTCGAGATTGAGTGTAGATGAACATGATATTTGTTATTTACGTTCAAATTAAAATTTCCCCCAGTTTTGAACTTGAATAACCCCACGTTTCTATAGTTAAACTGACTTTAAACTGTGTCTGATATTTAAATGCGGAGTCGCTAAATAAATTGGTTATTGTTTTAAATTTCTAATATGTATGAAACGCGATTAATTTAAACTGTGTAATTTACAGGACAGTCCTATCTTTATATAAAGTAATAAAACAAAGATCTTTTTAATTTTAGTTAGTCTGAACTTATCAAGAATACACCATATATGACTTTAAATAAATTCTACATTCTTTTTTCTGCACTCGTTTTCTTGGCACTATTTCGGAATATTTCAGTTTGTCCTGGGCTAATGTGTTCGGTTTTGGTCTGCAGGGCTAGACAAATAGCATTGCCCGATGCCCGGAACAACCAATTTTGTTTGGCGGGCAAGTTATTTGATAACTGGTACTTGCCCGCGGACAAGTGCTTTTCCAGTTAACAAAAAAAAATCGTACTCAAAATGTCGTTTTGTTTTACAGCTGTCAAAAGTTAATGAATTACAGAAGAATATCTGTTTTCGATGCAGTTGACTCCTACATCAAATACTCGGTAGGAACTCCTCTAGAATTACCATTCCATGTCTTGATAAAATATACACGAGAAGTAAACATGGCAGGTAGCGATGTCATGTCAAAAAAGTTTTAGAAGATTTTGGACCTTTTTATTGTTAAATATAAAATTCATGCCGTGAATACACATGATACAGAAACATATATTGCTGTATTCAAATTGGAGGTGTTGACTAGCTGGCGAACACACACAGTCATGAAGTCGAACCCTTAATCCACATTCAGGAGAGTTTTTCATAATTAAAGAATGTAGATACAGGTGTATTGTTTTCATTTAAAAGATACAGAGAAATGTCTAAGTACATGTATACACATTGACATGAACATTTATTTAAAATTCTATGTTTAATAATCAATACACAGCGCAGACGCAAGGAAGTCTCCGTAGAATTAGAAATTTCCCTTAATTTCTCCATCGGATAGTTAAGTGAATGTGGGTCGAGGTTTTAGTTTTAGTTTTGTGTTATTTAAGAAAAGGGTGGGACATGCATATTTTTAAGGAGGACAAGTAATTTTACGATGGTAACATGTCCGAGGCCAAGTTCTGAAAAATTCTATTTGTCTACCCCTGGTCTGTCTTGGGTATTAAGAAATTTGGCGATTATTTTAATAATGGATATTCATTTTCGCAATGATTGTGATATTTCAGTATTTTAAGTTAATAAACAACGATTTAACACAAGGACATTCCATTTGCACAATCGTCGTGTATTGTATTTATTAATCAGCTGTTCACACAACCATTATGTTTTACATAACACCAACTTATTATGTCATTCGTTGTTTTGTCCCTAGTGATTCAACTGATTTAAGCCTAGAAGCATTTTGTTAAGAAAACATCAGAAAATCTTTCTTTCTTAATATTATACTTTCATGTTAATAGACTTTCTTTACTATGCGCACGACGGTCGTGTATATATCATCGGCCGTGATAATCATTGAAAAACTTAATATTTGGAGTTAAAACTCTCAGCGAAGACAAATTTTGTTGTATTAAATAACATCTGTATTTTTTAAGAAATGAGCAAAAACCCGGTTTTCAGTTTCGAAATCCCCGACCCGGGTTTACTATTCATTTTATCGTAGACACACCTAATGTCACGTGCGGTTTGAAGAGACGGGTCTACATTGAAAAGGTGTATCTGAGCTTGCCCTAACGGTCGCACCGTCAACATATTATACGTACTTGTAGTATACGTCTCCCAAAGGGTTCCAGTCTGCTGTCGCCATTTCCTTCTATTTTCAAGTTTTCACTCTCCTCCCTCCGGAAAATAGAATATTGAATGTTGATCCCGATGAGTGTTGGTAAAAATGAATAAGGCAAACCCGGGTCAGGGCAAATTAATCAAAGTACTGAAAGTACTGAATCGAGGTGACGTCCTCCAGTAAAATGTGAAATCTATCCCCAAGTTAACTGGCTTATACAAAACCTTACATCAAGACAATGCACTTTGTAACTTATCTGATCTATAAAAAGACTGAACTAATGGGTGAATTTAAAAAAAAATGACCAAACACATATTTATCAACCTGCACTAAAAATACAGACAATGGGAATAAAATTCTATGGCACAGCATATGTCTTTACATAGTGTCTAAATACCTGCCAAATATCTCATTGATAATCTCAATTCACAAAAAAAGTTATGCCCAAAAATGATGCTAAAAATGTCAGGAGTGCAACACCTTTTTGTGACACTTTGAAAATTCAATATTTTTTGAAGATCTGTGGAAAAAATAACAAGAGGCCCAGGGACCACATCGCTCACCTGAGCACTGTGGCTAGGAAAAAAGAAAAAAAAAATCAGTTTAGTATTGAAAAGCTTAAATGCATAAGTGGTCCCAACCTACCCCTAAAAGGGAGTGGGGGGTTTGATTTGAACAAAATTAAATCTACACTTACTAATGATGCTTACATAATTTTTTGACTAACTGTGACATTTTTCTCTACAAGTTTGAACTTTCATTGTGGCCCCACCCTAACACTGGAGGTCTTGATTTGAACAAACTTGAATCTACACTATCTGAGGATGCTTCCATATAAATATGACAAACAGTGACTTTGCTGTTCTTGAGAAGATTTTTAAAGATTTTTCCTATATATTCCTATGTAAAACTTTGATCGTTCATTGTGGCCCCACCCTACCCCCGGGGGTCATGATTTGAACAAACTTGAATCTACACCACGTGAGGATGCTTCCACATAAATATGACCAATCATAGCTTTGCTGTTCTTGAGAAGATTTTTGAAGATTTTCCCTATATACACTGTACACCTATGTTAAACTTTGATCGTCCATTGTGGCCCCACCCTACCCCTGGGGGTCATGATTTAAACAAGCTTGAATCTACACCACCTGAGGATGCGTCCATATAAATATGACCAAACATAGCTTTGCTGTTCTTGAGAAGAAGATTTTTGAAGATTTTTCCTATATATTCCTATGTAAAACTTTGATCGTCCATTGTGGCCCCACCCTAGCCCCGGGGTCATGATTTGAACAAACTTGAACCCACACCACCTGAGGATGCTTCCACATAAATATTACCAATCATTGCTTTCCCAATATGGAGACCGGTAGAAAATAACTCATGGTGACTATAATGATATTGTTAGCAAATATAACCTATCTCTGGGTGTATTTTGGCTCACTTGTTACATACCAATTGTTAGACTTTGTTTGATACTAAATTGACTATGGAATGTTCCGTCTACCTGATCACTATATAGGTCTCACGGCGGGTGTTACCGGTCTACAGGGGATGCATACTCTTCCTAGGCACCTGAACCCACCTCTGGAATTACCAGGGGTCCTTGCTTATTCCCTCTTCACATATTTGTATTGTTTTAAGATTTTTGAGATCGATCACAGTTTGTAATCTTCACCATTTTCATTCTCCTTCTGGAAAATACACATATTCTTCAAGCAGATGTTCCATAATGGCATCTCACTTTCATTCTCAATGACCGTGTAGTGTAGGCAGCGCCGCGAGAATTCCATCGGCATCGAAAGCAAGTTTTTTGACTTGTCTAGATAGCCGAGCGGTCTAGCGCGCTGTTCCTGTACTGCTAGGAGACAGATTCCGTAGGTGGAGAGTTCAACCCCGGGCTGGGGCGGAAGTGGGTATCCTTGTAAAAGTGAATTTCTTTGTGCTTTCTATATTAATATTTCTTCACTTAGGGCAGTTATGTTAGTTTAAGAGTTGTTGTAAAAATGTGCTTTATATATATATATATATATATATATATATATATATATATATATATATATATATATATATATATATATATATATATATATATACTAGCTAGTCCAAGCATGAATTTATTATGCAATTAATATTACATCATTTTTTTCTAAATATACTATTACTTAAATGTAAGAAACAATCAAAATCACCAATCAAAACCACATATTTCATTTCTTGCACAAATTAAACTTATAAATTTATGAACATTAGATATTCCATACTTATAACTTATATGTATATCATAATATATATCCCTTAAAGAGCACAGTAGTTTCCGTTTTTACAAATCCTTATACATGCAATTTGAGTGAGGTCCTCTTACACAAATTTACGTCTCTGCATTTCAGGATGAGAATAAAGCAATACACTATACATGTAATTCCTCCTTACTTTCATACTGCTATACTTCTGACTACAAAGCAGTAAGAGATTGTTCCTTCAATATCAAACTGAACATTCATGAATTGCTCAAGGTTGATCAATTATTTTCCATTAACTGTATGGATTTTTCTTTCTTACTCCTTCTTCTTACTAAAGGGGATTCAAGTTTGTTCAAATGAAGGGCCATGCCCTCTTTCAAGAGTAGATAATGAAGAATAAGTGAAAATTTGGTGTCATCTTTTGAAAATCTTCTCAAGAACCATTCGGCCTGAGAAGTTAAAACTTACATGAAACTTTCATTAAATGGTGTTCAAATCATGACACCCCAGGGGAAGGGTGGGTTCACAATGGGGAATCAAAGTTTTACATAGTCATCAAATTATACAAGTATCCTCAGATAGTTAAGATTTAAGTTTGTTCAAATCATTTCACCTGGAAGTAGCTTGGGGCCTCAACAGGGGATCAAAGTCTAACATATGAATAGATAGGAGAAAAAAATCTGCCAATGAGGAATGGCAGGGGATATTTACTCATGTGAGCATTGTGGCCCACGGTCCTCTTGTTTTTCCTGGGTGTCCAGGGAAATACAGATTGTTTTAATTTTAAAGTTAAAGTTTATTCTTTCTTAAGATGATTTTAGATGAAAAATGCTGGTCTGAGTACAAAGAAAAATATTTTTTTTATGATGGCCTGAGTATCTAGGGGACAACCAGAGTACAATATAATAAACAAGGGTATTTTTACTAGATACTGTGGAATTACTCTAATTTGTGGTGGGTAAATGTTCATGGGCAAACAAAATTATATAGATACATGATATATGTACATATTATATATATGTATGTTTGTTGGGATGTAATTTTGTGGGTAACTCATATATACAGCAGATTCAATTAATATATACAGGGTGTTCAGAAAACATGCAATCATTTCAAATTATTGTATTTTTCTAGAATTTCAATTAATACCAACTAATAACCTATAAGTTTGAAAGACCTGTATAATTTCACAATTTATTCTAATGAATATAAAAACAGTCCATCGTATAAATAACGAACTACAAAAGAATCAAGAGGAATTGTAAAATGTCATTTAGTGACAAAAATGCTCTAAATAGTGTTCATTTTGTTGAATAAATAAATCTAATTATCCGATGTAGGAAATTTCTCATAACTGTAGGACAGGATTTCTGTGTTATTAGTATCTTTGAGTTCTGGATTCGGTTTTTTCATTGTCCTATGTTGCAACCACTATTGAAATAACGACCACTACTGAAATAATTATTTCAATAGTGCCTCTCAAAACCGAACACAGATTGCAACCACTTTTGAAATACAATGTAACGTTCACTATTGAAACAATGATTTCAATAGAGGTTTTGAATGCTTTTTAAAGCTTTAACAAGGTTGCAACCACTATTGAAATAATGTTCACTTTTGAAATAACGACTTCAATAGTGATTGAAATAATGATTTCAATAGTGATTGAAATAATGATTTCAACAGTGATTGAAATAATTATTTTATGGCTGATCACAATGATTTCAATACCAAAACCATATTGGAAGCCTTACTGAAATGACCCCACTAATGAAAGAAAAATATAAGGATGGCTTGTTCATTACGTTTTCCAACATAATAAATTAATTTATTGAGTTTAAATTATGATGTGTAAATTAATGTTTTCCTTTCTTTTCTAGAAATTACCATTAATATACGGACATCTATGATTTAACCTACTTACCTAAAATTCATACAAAGTATGCGAATGTTATAAGCAAGCTTCCCCTGAATCTGGCCGACTCGGCAAAAATCAACAGACCCTTAAAAAAATATTATAGTAAACTATAGTTAACGTTATTTCAATAGTGGTTACAACCTGCATGTGTTTTGGTTTTGAAATGCATTTTCAACCACTATTGAAATAATTATTTCAGCAGTGAACGTTATTTCAATAATGGTTGAATAAGTGTGACCACTATTGAAATAACAACCACTATTGTAACTAGTTATAATTGTAACGGGGACCGTTACAGATGTTCCCCAAACGCTCCCCAACTCCCTTTTGGTGTCTATTTCCTGTAAGCTTTATTAAATAAGGCAATGAAGTATATAGGTCATTTTTTGCATTTCACGCGCGCGCACGTGCATGCATGTGCAGGATGACCATGTCATCCCGTCTATACTATATATGCATCTTTATATTCTCAGTATCAAAACATTTCATCAAAAGATATATAAGTTCCGGCTAAATCAAGCATATTGGTCATCTTAGCATTGCGCGCACGCGCACCTGCATGCATGTTCATAATGACCATGCCATTTTGTGTACACTTATAATATGTCTGTTTATTCTTAGTATCAAAGCTTTTCATCAAAAAATATAAAAGTTACGGCTATATTAAGTATATTGGTCTTTTAACACATTGCACGCGCGCGCATGTGCATGCATGTGCATGATGGCCAAATCATCTTGTCTACACTTTTAATATATCTATATATTCTTAATATCAAAGCTTTTCATCAAAAAATATAAAAATTACGCCTATATTAATTATATTAGTCATTTAACACATTGCACGCGCGCGCACGTGCATGCATATGCATGCATGTGCATGATGACCATGTCATC